GCCTCTGTTTGTCTGAGGCTGGAGAAGAATGGCAGGAGACAAATCGCTTGATCATTGTCTTCGGTCCACCCCCTCTGGAGTTCCTGGTGCTGGTTACTGAGCTAGATGGACCTTTGGTCTGACCCAGTACGGCCATTCTTATGTTCTTATGTTTACACAGTGACTGGAGTCAGTGCAAAGTGTCATTAGTGTACAGTATCATGCTTAGGAACTTTGGGTCCCTTTGAAGCAAGAGAACACACCATGGCTAACAGTTTTATCACCATGCCTTTGGGACGGAGGGGGTGGAAAAGTGTAACTGGCACATTTCACAAAAATTGCAAAAAATGTCTTGAAATAATTATTTTGCACATAATACTGTTGAAATGTTGCTACTCTGAGTTGGACAGGACCTAGTACAATGCATCCATTTCTCAGTCTTGCAGCAGTAATGGGGTTAAGGTGTAAGAACTTACAATCCATGCTGGCTACAAATGGAGACCTATGCCGGGTGTGTGTGTATGTTGGGGGGGGCGGTGGAATTCCCAGTCCAATGGGAGGCACACAATGCTTCCAGCTTTGGTAAGGCCCAAAATATCAGGTCTTTATTACTCCCCAAGACTGTAGCTTGAGGTCTCAGTGCCGACTTGCCAATTACAGCTGGTCCCCAAGTTACGAACGGGTTACAGACCAAACACTTGGCCGTAACTCGAAATGTTCATAAGTCAGACCCCATTGGTTTACATTGTGACCACACTGTTCGTAAGCGCAGGTCGTGTTCGTAACTTGGGGACCGCCTTTACGACCACTTCATGGGAGGTTTGGTCATAAATGCGAATGGTCGTAAATCGATCGTTCGTAACTCGGGGACCAGCTGTGCAAATATTGATCAAGGCAGAGGGAAATGGAAATAAAATCATGTCTGAGGGTGGGAAGGAAAAAACCTCAGCTCCTGACATTCTGGTATCCTCCACAGCAGTGATCCCCTTTTTCTGTTGCACCCCTCGCGGGGGGGGGGGGGATTGGCCATGCCTCCTGGAATGTTCCTCTTTGCCCCCCTACGGGGGTTCAACCCACAGCCTGGGGACCAATGCACTATGGTTTTTCTCATCCCATTAGGCGCGACCTTTGGAGACAGGGTTGGCTGTGTGATCCTCTGAATGCACTCAGCCCTTCAAAACGTGTGGTCTCACACTCAAGAGCAATGCTACATGGAAGTGGGTTCAAATCCCGACTCCTGTATGGGCTCCATGCCTCCTCAATTAGGTCACTTAGGGCAAGATTTTTCAAAAGCAGAGAGAGATTTTGGGTGTCCAACTTGAGATACATGGAAGATTCTTAATTTTGGAGAAAGCACTGAGCCGCCTACCTGACAAAAATCAGGCCTCTTCATATGTCCACCCGAGCAGCAGAATTCAAGATGCTCCAAATCACTGGCCACTTTTGAAAATCTTGATCTTAATCTTTTAGTGCCTCTGTGCCCCATCTCTAAAGTGGGGATAAGCTCTCATCTTCGCCTGTCTTGTCTATGTAAAATATAGTCTCTTTGTAGACTGTCCCTGACTCTGTGTGTGTACAGCACACAGCAGATTGGGAGCCCAATCTCATTTGGAACCAGTATCAATCAATCTTCCAATTTTTTCCATCCATGTGCAGAATAAACTTTGCTCTGTGCACGGAGGTATGTGTGGATGTGCACCTCCAGGAGAAACACATGCTGCTAGCTGCGGGCACTCTGCTAATCATGGGGGGCATGTGCCCCATCTCTCCTGGGTGGCTGCCCAAGTGCTCAGGTTACAGGAAACCCCTCCCTCCCACACACACAACTTCACCCACCCATCTAGCCAATGCCCCCCCACATCTATCCACCCATCCGTTTATGTACCCCTCTAACTATCACAGATGTGGCCATCCATCCATCCCCACTCCTACCCATCCATCTGCCTTTTGAGGCCCCCCAGGTTCAGAGTCCAAGACAGAAGGGACCACTGTGATGATCCCGTCTGCTCTCCGGCAGAGTCCTGCCCCCGGCAATCCCTGCAGCAGACCCCAGCGGCCGATGACTGCCCGTCGGGGCCCGCCCGGCGCCCGCGGTGCCACTCACCCTGTGGTGATGTCGTCGTCCTCCGTCAGGGTCTTGCCCAGCAGGTCGCTGTCGCTCATGTATCCGGACTTGAGCTCCACGTCGTCGGCGTCCAGCGACTCGACCAGCTCCAGCCGGGAGATGTGGCTCAGTTTGCTGGCGCTGCGCATGGGCATGGTGTGGGAGTAGTGTGCCCGCTCGCCGGGCGCGTACCAGCTGGGGGTGCCTTCCGACCGGCAGGGGCGCCCCCCCCCGGGGGCGGGGACCGCCCGATTGCCCGTAGCGCCAGGACAGGGGCGAGGAGCGGTTGGACAGGCTGGACACGCTCCTGGCGTTGGCCTCGTCACTGTCGTAGCAGGTCATCTCCAAAGAGCTGGGAGGGAGGAGCAGAGAGCAGAGTGTCAGGGACGGGGCAGCCGGCGCCAGGCAAACAGCCCTGGCCCTAGGAGCAGGAGAGGGCCCCAGGCTGCAGGGACTCAGCACCTCGGGAAACCAGGCCACCCGGCTCGGAGGCAAGGCGGGGGAGCCGGGACGGGAACCCGGCGTGCGCTGTGCTAAGCCGCTGGCGTCACCGGGAATCTCCCCTTCTTCCCGACAGCCCCGCTCCCTGGTCCCACGCCCCAGGGCCCCCCTCTTTATGTCCCTTCCCCCCACAGAGCTCGGGACAGAGGGGCCGAGGCCCAGGGCAGCCTGGCTGCTAGCAGGAAAGCACATACGTGGCTCAGAGCTGGATCTCGGGCAGCACCCTGGGCCCGCCTGGGCCTGCACTGAGAAGCAGCAGGGCCAGGCCCTGGTTGCCCGGGGGGGCTCCCTTCCAGCACGGCAGGCAGCCGGCGTTACGTGCAGAGCGAGGCTGACAGACACACCTGGGCTGGGCTACTGCTTCCGATCAGCTGCCCGAGGCACACGCACCGTTTTACCGGAGCTGAACCAGATGTGTGTGTGGAGCCCGGGCACAGAGCTCGGCATCGCGCTTTGTGGGGGCTGCTGAGCCAGCCGGGAAACACGTTCCCATGCAGCTTGTAATGACAGTAGGGCATCCCGTGCGAGACACACACACACACACAGAGACACAGATACACACAGACACACACACAGATACACACAGATGCACACACACAGATACACAGACACACACACACATATGCACAGACACAGATACACACACAGATACACACAGATACACACACACACACAGATGCACAGACACACAGATACACAGACACACACACATGCACAGACACACAGATCCAGACACACACACACACACACACACACATGCACAGACACACAGATACACAGACACACACACACAGATGCACAGACTTGGGGGCAGGCCCCAGAGCAGAGAGCCTGCAAACTCACTGCCATATGCCAGGAATGGGGAGGAAATTCACGCAGTTCCCCACAGACGTGCTACAGGGACTGACTCCGAGAGCCCAGGGCACGTGGCACCAGGGAGAAGCAGGGCTGGGAGCCGCTGCATCAGAGGCCCAAATCTTGCACCATTTTGCACGAGCCTGCAATACAGATGGGGATTTGCACACGTGTCTCCTGCACTTGGCTCACGTGCGTGGCTCACTTGATCACAGAGCGCTCGGCTAGTGCTCACGTGCGTGGGCCGTGCTCTCGCCCAGCCGCTGTTTCGCCTGGTGCGCAGGTTTGGCTCACCAGGCATTGACCTCGTGGCCAGCCTGGCCGGTGCACGGGGCCTTGCTCCAGCAGGAGAGAGCAGGGCTAACGTCACCTCTTCCCCTTGCTTCCCCGGCTCACAGGGCTTGTATGTGCTGCCCTGCCCTCGTGGGGGTGCTCAGTGCACGTGGCTCTTGTGATGGACTCGTGCACACGTGGTATGTGTGTCGGCGTGCCCGGCTTGCTCACCATCTGTTTGCTCTGCTTGTGCAACTGCCTCACATTTTCTGTGCAGCCAGTGTGGTGGCTAGGGCCCAGCACCGGTCGCTGGGGGTCCCTGAGCGCTCAGCGCCCGTGCGTCGGGCTTGGCCTGGCCTTGGTGCATAGCAATGCAGGGCAGGACGGGCTCTGGTCTCCCAGGCCCCGCACGGAGGCAGGATGAACTGTCTGCCCTGCAGTGAAAACTGCCACAGAAGAGGTTCCACCCCAGCTGGTCGCGGTCCTCTGTGGCGCTAGATACTGGCCTCGAGACTTATCAGCTCCCTTCTCAGTCCGTCGTCTCTTCCCAGTCTGACGGTGCCCGGCCCGGCCCTCTCTGCTCCGTTTTCCTAACCCTCCCTCGCTTTTGTCTCCCGCCCCATCCGTCCGCGGCTTTCGTCTGGTGCCCAGAACTGGACCCGGCTCTCCAGCTGGGAGGCCTCCCCGGGGCTGCACAGCCGCTGTTTGGCTCACACGACCCTCTGCCCCTGCTTTCGGAGCTGTGCTCACTATCCTGGTGCAAGGGGTGCACACGCGCACAGCCAGCGCTCTCCGCCTGCGCCCCGGTGCTGCCCGTGTGCTCACAGCAGCTTGTGCCCAGATGGCTCCTTGTAGGCGGGTCCAACTCCCCTGGCACGGCGCACCAGCGCCTGCGTGCACACAGGGAACGGAGGTAAAAGCTGCTGCCGGCAAAACATTCGGCCGAGCAGATGGGCTGGAGTCCTGCCCTCGCTCCCCGCCTGTCGTGACTCATCGCGGGTGGGGCTCAGCTGGCAGCGGCGCCTCCCCTGTGCCCTCAGCCCCAGACGCTGGCTGGGCCACAGGCTGGGAGCCAGATCCTGGGGGAACAGGGGGCGGGGCCTTCCCCTCTGACTCCTCCCACGTGGTCAGAGGGGGGGTTGGTGTCCTCGGGGGCAGGAGCGAGGGTGGATTTATTTATCTCTGTCCGTGCGCGGGGCAGTGGCGGGGCGGGGACTCCCACCACTGGACACAGCGTGGCCCCCACGTGGGCGCAGCCACATACCTCCCAGGCCTTCCCTGTGGGGCTACCCCCCAAGACACACTCACAAGGGGACCTGGGCAGAAGCCTCCCTGTCTCAGCCCCGTTCCAGGCTCCCTGCTCTGCAGCTGGCTGCCGTGACCCCTCAGGCCCGTCGGCGGGGGCCCCGAGGGGAA